AAATAGATAGATAGATAGATAGATATAGATAGATAGATCCCGCTATGTTTTGTCTATCCATCTGTCTTTCTGTCTCCCTGCCTCAGTTTGCCAATCTGTCTGTCTGACTGTCTCTTTCATCGTTCTATCTGTCACTTTATTTGTCTGTCTGTCTGCCTGCCCACCTTTCTGTCTATTTATCTATCAATCCGTGTGTCTGTGTACTCATCTACTAGTTTATCTATCCATCCATCTATCTATCAGTATGCCTGTATGACTTCTATCTGTCTATCTGTTTATCTACCTTCTAATCCATCGGCATTTCTATGTCAGGCAGACAAATTATCTGGTTGTATACTTTTCCATTATCTATATCCATAATTATTTATACATCATTATCTATCTATCTATCTATCTATCTATCTTCTCCATTATCTATATCCATAATTAGATATACAATATCATCTAATTAACTAACCATCTATCTATCTATCTATCTATCTCTCTATCTATCTATCTATCTATCTATCTATCTATCTATCTATCTATCTATCTATCTATCTATCTATCTATCTATCTATCTATCTATCTATCTATCCATCTTTTGTGTATGCGCAGGGCCGTCCTAACCCATGGGCACGCTTGGCAGTTGTCTGGGAGCCCCATTAACCTCGGGGCCCTATACTAACCTCTGCATAAATATTATACGAAACAAGACTATAGATATTTGTTATTGCGTTAGAAATTATCATTGGTTCGCCCCGATTAAGTTTTATGGACCATTTTTATCTTTATATCTGTGGCTGGCTGTGTAGTTAGGGCCTATGATGCTGATAAGACGACCTTGTGTGTGTGTGTGTGTGTGTGTGTGTGTGTGTGTGTGTGTGTGTGTGTGTGTGTTGTGTGTGTGTGTGTGTGTGTGTGTGTGTGTGTGTGTGTGTGTGTGTGTGTGTGTGTGTGTGTGTGTGTGTGTGTGTGTTGTGTGTGTGTGTGTGTGTGTGTGTGTGTGCTGTGTGTGTGTGTGTGTGTGTGTGGTGTGTGTGTGTGTTGTGTGTGTGTGTGTGTGTGTGTGTTGTGTGTGTGTGTGTGTGTGTGTGTGTGTGTGTGTGTGTGTGTGTGTAGCATAAGAAGGAGGAGGAGGAAGAGAGGAAAAGAAGAGGAGGAGGAGAAGAAGAAGTGATAGAAAAGAAATAAGGAGGTGGTGGAAGGAGAAGGGGAAAGAGGATGACGAATGCAAAAAAGGAAAAAAGGAGAAAGAAGAAAAAAGAATAATGATAAAAGGGAAGGAGAAATCCGCTCTGTAAGGTAGAATAATGCGCCTCTACCCACCCTTTTTTATAAGACTTGAATGAATAATGATAAGAGGTAAGGTACGAGAAGACTGAAGGAGAGGGGAAGAAGAAGAAAAAAAAAGGAAACAGAAAAAGAAAATTATGGTAGAGTATTATAGTTCACCCTAAATCGGTTTTCTTTGAAGAGTTGCGTTTAGTATCCAAAGCGACGCAAATTTGTAAACACGTTCGTGTTTCGTCGTTGTTTTAAGTTTCTTTTCTATTTATAAGGAAGGTTATTATTGTATAGACACTATAGGGGCTGATCACACCAAGCATGGATGTCGGGGAGATTTTAAATTTCAAGGTATGGCTATATATATCGTAATTTTAAATGATTTGAACGTTTTAGTGAGGCACCAGGACGGGGATAAGCGAGATGCCGACTCCCCCTTTACACAGTGGCTATATTTACGCTGCTGTAATGATTCACTCAGAGGCTAGATTCACTGCTCTTCCTGTTGCGCATGCTCATCAACATATTTTCTTTCACAAGAACTTCACAGCCATAATCTAAAAGGGTTTGGTTATCTTTACGGTGCTTCCGTGCTGCCCGGACGAGGTTCCTAGAACCATTCTATTTGCTTTGCACGGATAGTATGTATTTTTGAAGCTCAAGCTTGCTGCAATAGGCAGCCTACATTGTTGTCTGTTGCAAATACACTGTTGCTACAGTGCAGGAGAAAGTAGACACACCACAACACCTCTACTGTACAATGCAGCCCTAGGTCTGACACGGAGGGCTTGTAAATCAGAGCAGTTCAAGATATTATGTATGATTTGGAACAAGAACACTTGAACTTTATTTTGTTTACCTCTGATTTGGGCGCTGGTCTTTAGACTTTGACTGTAACTCCCGACTGCTATGAATGCAGGCAAAGTCCCTCTCCCCAACCTTCAAACATGGCTGAAATGCTCTTAACAGGCCTCGTTTTGAACTAGAATTGATTGATTCGGAACATCTTGAGGAAAGGCTAACATAATTCTTCTCTTCCCAGTGATTCAGAGTGCTGAAAATAGACTCGAAATCAGGAAACTTTGCACCTACAACTATATTCTTGTCTGCCATATTTCATTTCATTTTGCAAAGTATGAACACCGAAATGACTATGCACAACAGGAAGTGCTGTAGATATAGCCTCTGAATGAATCATTACAGTGCTATACTTATAGCCACTGTACCCTCTTTATGGTTTTAACACGTATGTCTTTATCAATAGTAATACCTATTTAGTTGTAAATCGTAATAAAATGCTACATCATAGAGAGGACTAACCTTAATACCAATGGATTGCTTCTGATGTATATTAACCATATATAGTTTGTCTTTTAACGATAATATAGGGTGTGCTCAAAATGGTGTGGCCTCGTCATCTTTAGCACTCAGGGTGAAAGGCAAGACAAAGCTTGTAATTATCCGTGGTGATTAGGACCCAGTCCAAGCTCTATTTTGCTTTGGTAGGCCTAGGATATTTATGGTGGGAGATTGCTTGCCTCTGCCAGAGTGCTGTAGGTGTAAAGGCTGCAATAAACACTTGAAGCATTGCTATTATCTTGGAAATTGTCATTGATTAACCACCTCTATGACATGTTCATATTTACCCTTGGATTTCCATGAGATTTATCATGTTCTTCATAGTAGTTGAGGATAGTATCAGTACTGTACATAGTCAGCATTGACTTAACCCATTAATACCGGTATATGTTGAGTCTGTCCGCCTGCTGGCCATGGCCCGCTGCTGTGTCGGAGCATGAGCCCCGATACAGCGTCACACTGACGGGACGCCTGGCAATGTTTATTTTTTCGGGTATCTCATGTGTGGGACACCCATTGTGAACGGGTTAAGTAAGGTGATTGAATGGCCTAATGACAAATAGCCTAGACTTACAAACTTTGTAGGTCCCATTTCCTCCAGCATGCTAGGAATAGTTAAAGGTTCAAATCAGTCACAGTATCACGGAGGCTTGGGCACCTTTACTCATCGAAACATTTAACACATGCATTGACAAAAACTGCTATATATGGACAGTACACATACATTCCATGAGTATCAGTAGCTACTATTGGTATTTGTGATGTATCACATTTTTTCAATATAAATGGTATCTGTCACTCCCAAAACTCCATGCTTCCGATATTCATTTATTGGATGAATCAGTACTAGGATTACCTGATGCCAAAATGATAATGATTTTTTCTTTTACTCTTACTTTTTTATCTAAAGGAAGGGAGTTGACTGAATAAAATAGAGAAAAGGCTAAATGGATAGATAGATTAAAATTTAGATAGATAGGTATAAAAACAAGTAAACAATATAATCAACAATTACAAAAGGTGTAACAATGTTTCTTCCTCACAGCCTGAGATGGCTGTAAAACGTGCAGCAGAAGAAGAAGAAGATGAGAAGGACAGGCCAGGCAAGAAACGAGGTCGACTGGAGTCAAGGGGTCTAGGGCCCCAGCCCCCTTCCTCCCATTTGGGCAGCTTAGGGGGTGTGGCCTCAGCTCGGACACGGCAGATTGTGGAGGAGAAATTAATGGAGTTTGAAGAACAAGAAAACTCTGAGGTGGTGAGTCTTGATACCAGGATTGGATTCCTTTGTCTTGGATAAATGGAGGACAGAGTAATTGACTGATTCAGGGTATCTGATAATTTTAGGGATTGTATTATTTGCAGATGCATATTATTATTATTTATTATTATTATTTAATATTTTTATCACCAAAGAGATTAACTAATCCTTCCTGATCTCAACTGTCTACCCATATCCTTGATTATTAGTAGTATTGATAGTAGCACTAATAATCCCAATGCCAATAATAGTAATTATGTTGACCGGGGCATCACAGCCTAAATTCAGCCCAAAATCATGGCATTAGGCTTTCTTAACAAGCGACTCTCCTGGTTGTGTGCCTACAGGATCACTTGTTTGTTTTAAAACACCTTTCCAATCTTTGTCATTTGATATTCTGTATCAAGTTGGTAATGGAATGTTTTCCTGGGACAGTCTCCATATATTCTCTAAGAAATGTCAGTGCAATAACAATATCAATAATAAACATTTTGATATTTGCCATTATAAAATATTTTTGTCTTATACAATTTTCTATAACACCCTGCTTTGTGGCTCACAGCTGAGAATAGAAATAGTGTCCTTGGAGACTGCTCTTCTAGGCTTGGCTCATGAGTGGTTCATTTTACCCTTGTATACTGGTAGAAATAATGCAAAAGCCCCTTCCTAAATGCCCACTTCTTCCTTCAAGAGCTTTGTTCACTCATGTTGAGTCATATGGCACATTACCATCACCTTGGCCCTCAGCCAAATTTTTACATGACAGCATATTCCTGTCTCCCAGCCCTCAGCCAAATCCAGTATATTGATAACATAAGAAAAAATATAACTGATTCCCAAAAATTAAAGGGATTGGGATATCAGGTGAGGACAGGTAGACCTAGTTATTGATTCCTTGATGACAAAGTACATGTGGAGCCATTTATGTATAAACAAAATTCACAAAGACAGAACCAGAATGAAAATTGCTAGTATTCAGGTAATGGTTTAATACTTTTATTATTATTATTTTTGTCATCAATACCACCACCATTATTATCATGTCATCTTTATTAAAAGTTGTGCTCTTTGCATTACAGACAGATGGACCCCTGAATGAGTCCTTGCTCAAGAAAATGATCTTAAGCTTTGAGAAACGTGTACTGAAGAACCAGGAATTGCGAATCAAGTTCCCTGATGATCCTCGCAAGTAAGGCTAATGTATTACTATTTGGTTGGCTTTTCTTTAATGTTTATTGATTTTATTAGTTCTAGTGTTTTAGTTGTGTTCAGCAGTATTGGCTCTGAAACCACATCCCTTGTATATAACAAAGTATTTGATGGTTTATATAAAGTCAAAATAAGTCAGGAGCACATCAGCTCCCTAATGCCCACAGGGTATTTAACCCATTGGATCATGGCTCATAATCCAGACATTAGGATTGCTTGAGTCTCAGCCCACACAAAGACTCGTCTGTGGTGTCAAGACTTTGCCTATCCATATTTTATTTTTTTTATTTATTTTTTTTCCCACCATTTACCAAGGTCAATATTTTTCATTTGATAGGCCTAAGTAGTATCAAGATGGTAATAGAGTGTTTTCCTTGCAAATACTCCATTGCTTCTCCCTAGGTACTATATTTGTGTCAGTATATTTATATTTTTGTAATATTAAATTTTTTGTACTACACCCTTCACTGACACAGCTGTTAGAAATAGGATCCTAAGCATAGAAATAATGTCCTCCCTTTAGCTGGCACTCTTCCTTAAGGAGGCCGTCGCAACGAAAATTTTCAAAAATACTTGAAAAATATAAAAAAATCTCTTGTAATCTAGTGGGCTTTGGCAACCTCATGACGTAATATTTTTGCTAAATATGTAAAATTAAAGGAGTTATAACTAAATCTCTGCCCATCCCCCTTGGGGGGGGGTAGCTGGTAGCTAGCTGGCAACTCTGTTTACCCATCAGCAGATCGTCAAGCCTGCGGCCTTGGGAGACAAAACTCCACAGGAAAATCAGAGAGGAAGGTTGTCAGCTCCTACTTCCATAACACCATATTGCAGTGTAGGCCCATATAACAAAGTAAAGGGACAATACTAATTGTAGATGTTATTCTATTATTTAATAACCATAATATGATCAGAAATACTCCTTAATCACAGCTGCAAAAGTTTTTTATACATTTAAATACCTCACGTGGCCAGGTTAGGTACTGGAAAACTTGACAGGCGGTAATTTCACAATTATGTGCAGTTATTAGAATTAGCACTTTGCAAAAGGAGGGGACAATGTACCAACTACACTTCAGAATACCATGTGAACGCAATAGAATGCAGCAAGATTGCTGCAGAGATTAGAATTCTAAAGAAAAACAAAAACAAAAATCATGGGAAAAGTTTCCTAAATTTTGGAGCCCGTTATCTGAGAACTACACTTTTGTCAACATTTGTCAGCATTTTTTTTAGTAGCTCCATAAATACTTGGGCAATTCTAATGGGGTTTGGATCATTTAAAAGCTGAATATATTTGCGATGATTTCCTTAAAGTAAATTTTCTTTTTAGGTTAGTTCGTGATGTTCATAAGACTGGACATTCAGAAAAAAATAAGTTCCCACTAAACTAAAAAGAAATTTAAAATTCCAGTCTTTCCAAATTATAGGTATTACTTTAGACTATAAGTGGTAATTTTTTCAACAAGTTTATTCAATGGATAAGTGCGATACTAAAGAGGTTGTAATTGTTCAAAAACCTGCTTTTCATATATAGCTTTATTATTTATTGGCCAATTGTTATGAAACTTGATGGTGTTTATCAATTTATGTGTATGAATAACATATTAAAAAATCATGAATATTCGATCATAACTGACGAACTTCGTTCTCGAGTGCGACGGCCCCCTTAACCCAATGTTGACAGGAAAATGGTGCATTCCCTTTGGCAATACTCGGTTAAATGTTTCTGCACATAGATGGCTCTGCCAATACTTAGCCACAAAGGAGTCAATTAGTAGATCTTGCGACTTCACTTTTCCTTGAAAAAGCGGGAAAACACTTTTTTTTTTTTACTAATGCTATCAATTTTGACACTGTTATTTTTGTTATAAACATTATAATTACTATATTGTTAATGACATTACCAACAGCAGTATTAAATACTAGAAAATATCAAAAATCAAGGAAAAGGGTAAACAGGTGAGACAGTTCGCGTAATTGGCTCATTAGTGAAAGTACTTGTAGAGCCATTTATATATATAAACAATTACTAAATTCAACACCCACACAATGGGCATGCATGTACATACATACAATGCCCGGCAGCTTGGGGTTAATCTTAGAGCCCCTCCTAAATGCTCACCAAGTCTAATTACCCTCCAAGAGCTTTGTGCACTCATCGTGAGTCATTCCCATCTGAAATTCTCATGACAACATATCCTGTCATCCCAGTCATCTGGATCCAGTGGGTCAGAAAGGGGTCAGTCTCACGTGATGCACCACCCTTAATGCAATGCTACATAGATTCAAATCAGATCCTACAGTCAGATTACAGAGATTGCTAAAAGAACACAAATAGAGATGATGAAATTTTTGTGGAAGCTGAGACTGGTATAATTTACTAAATTCCAAAGTATTGTATGGTTATGAATTGTGAAAAAACACATTTAACACAAATGGAAGCCAAATCAATGTTTAGAAAGACCACATTGAGATTTTTAAAAGGATGTGGACATCAAGCCATTTCATTTATAATGACTGATAGACCAAATCATATTAAGCCATTTTTTCCAGATTTTTGACAAATGGTAACCTTAATGTATAAATGGAATAGTCACTCCTCAGTGTACAGTGATTGATCCTGCTGCACCATTTTTTATCTCATATCTTAACCCTTCCCCCATGCATGAGTTGGGCAGGAGCTCAAAGTTGTTGCAATTGTGCCAAAAGGTTTAGTTAGGTTACTGTTGTTGTCTGTTTGTATTATGATTTTATTATTATTGTTATTGTTATTATTATTGTTATTATTATTATTATTATTATTTTTTTTTTTTTTTTTTTTTTTTTTGCCTTCAAAATATACCGGCATTAGTGGGTTAATGTTGTCACTAGCATAAGCATTAAATATTGCTCATAATTATATTAATCTCTTCATAGTTGATAACTTTAAGCCATTTCTATATCTGTCCAGAGTCAAAAAAGGTTCATCAAAGCTGCCAGCTGAACATCTCTCAGTTGATTCAGTTTAGCTTCCCCTCTTTAACCCAATAACACCGGTATATTTTGAAGCAGCGTCACACGCCCGGCAATGTTTATTTTTTTGGGTGTCTCATATGTGGGACACCCGTCGTTAGTGGGTTAACAAATGTGATTTTTTCAAAACTAATTAATTGTCCTGACGTAAGAGATTTGACTTTCCCAATTTGAGTAATTTCACTTTTTGGATAGACAATTTTGCCTTAATAATTTCCTTATTTAATGAATCTGACTTCCTTCATGTAACTAAATTTCCCTTACGAAATAGATTTAACAAATCTCTCACTTGACTTTCCTGTTATGATAAGGTAAACTTCAAGAATTTAACAAAATCAGCAAATTATCTGATTACCTTTTTTTATTTATTTATTTATTTTTAAATCTGCCATTGCAATTTTAATTCCTGGCTTCTTACATCACCAGATTCATGGAATCAGAGGTAGAGCTGAATGATGCTGTCGAGGAGCTGCATGTGGTGGCCACTGTGCCCGAGCTGTATCCTGTGCTTGTGGAGTTGGGCACTGTCAAAAGCCTGCTCTCACTCCTCAGCCATGACAATACTGACATTGCCATTGCTACAGTTGACCTCCTGCAGGTATGTTGTTGCATGTTGGGTAGTTGTTTAAGGAAAGAAAACATTTGTTTCATCAATTTTTTTCATTTGGGGGCATAGGGTGGAAGAGTTGCATTATGTGCAATGTGATGTAAAGAGTCTTCAATTATATATATATATATATATATATATATATATATATATATATATATATATATATATATATATATATGTACGTATATATGCACTCCCTAGTTTTTTTCATCACTTATAAGTAAATGATAAAAGGAAAATTAGAAACCTAATGTTAAAAGTTGGATCTGGTTGCATCACAGAAATCATGGAGCTGAAAATACGGGCAGTGGGTTACGTAAGTGTGGCACGTAGGTAAGGCACATGCGAACACCCATGAGCGGTGAGAAGACTGTGCCTTCTCTTTGCAAAATCATTTTGCATAAACTTTTTAGGCTTTTTTGCCATTTTCTAATATCCATAATTGTCTTTTGATTTGTTTTATCCAGATGTTGATAGGATATTTTCCTTTCACAGACTCCATATCTTCTCTCTATGTAATAGATAACTCAGAAAAAAAAATGTGTAACAGTTGATTATTTGTGTCATATATCTTATTCTTTGTAATTTTTAATTTTCCGTAAAGCAACCTGCGCTGCCGGTCACAGCAGCCAGGAATATAGTGCGCAACATGAAAATGGCGCTCTTCAAGTCACAGCTTACATATGTTACATTCCATATTCATTTATTAATGCTAAAGCCCCCTTCTAAGCACCAAATGAGTCAAATCACACTCCAGGAGGTTTATGCACTCGTGGCAAGTCTTTTCCGCTTATGACAGCAAGTTTGTGTCACCGAGCCTGCAGCCATTTTGTTCGATGACGGCATGATCATGTCACCCGGCCCTCAACCCAGATTTTTCCATGACGGGACTGTAACATCATCCAGATCATAGGGGTTTAAAGAATATTGTTGCATTTGAGACAAAAAAGCTGTTCAAAAATAGAATCTGATCTTGCTTAGGTTGTAGGATGTCTTTCCCAGCAGAAAAATTTCTTTCCACAACTTCATTTGAAGGTATGGGGTTCTTAAGTTATAGAATGACTGGTTTGATGCCATTAGAGGGGAAGCATGGCACCTCCTCTTGCCGTAACAGGCCTCATGACAAATAAACGGAGACTTGTTCAGCATTCTAATTATCTGAGGCCTTCTTGATCTTTGGGTTGGATTTGGTTGCACATCACATACATGTAAAATTTATATAGAGAAATGAGCTGTGAGACAAACTGTACATGGTTACTGTGATGCCAATTTATTTATGCTTCCAAAGTTATGATATCACAAAGTAAAGAGTAACAAGTAATCGTCAAAAATAGAAATGATAAAAAAAAAAAAAAAAAAAAGTTAGTGGTTCTGCCAAATTTGTTACTCATGAAAAAATGTAATAGCATTACAGTCAGTGTTACAAGAAATATAACAACATTACATAACACAGTTGCTAGTACTTACATTACTCCCATGAGTGAATGCTCATACACCCACTGATTAATTTCTCCACTCCCCCCTTGCCACATACACACACACCAGACTCTCCCCAACACACAACTTCTATAATGCATTGTAACTGTGAGATTATTGTTGGCAGGAGATGACAGAGCTGGAGGACATTCAGGAAGAGGAGGGTGCTGAGGCTCTGATTGATGCACTGCTGGAGGGCCAGGTTGTCACCACACTTGTCCACAATCTGCAGCGAATGGATGAGTCCAACAAGGCTGAAGCTGATGGTGTTCACAATAGTCTGGGTGAGTAGATGATGATAATGTTGTTGTTGATGTTCTTTTACCCCATATATATATATATATATATATATATATATATATATATATATATATATATATATATATATATATATATATTAATATATATATATATATATATATATATATATATATATATATATATATATATATATATATATATATATATATATATATATATATATATATATATATATATATATTATATATATATATATATATATATATATATATATATATATATATATATATATATATATTATATATATATATATATATATATATATATATATATATATATATATATATATATATATATATATATATATATATATATATATATATATATTATATATTATATATATTATATATATATATATAATATATATATATATATATATATATATATAATATATATATATATATATATATATATATATTATATATATATATGTATATATATATAATATATATATATATATATATATATTATATATATATATATATATATATATATATATATATATATATATATATATATATATATATATATATATATATATATATATATATATATATATATATATATATATTATATATATATATATATATATATATATATATATATATATATATATATATATATATATATATATATTATATATATATATATATATATATATATTATATATATGTATGTATGTATGTATGTATGTATAGATACATATACCCTTATGCATATATATACATATACACTTATGCATATATATACAAATACACTTATGCATATATATTATATATGTATATGCACATACATATATATAGATATATTATTTTGTTTTTACTAACTTATTTATCATTACTTTTACTGTTGTATTCTTTACATTTCTTTATCTGTTGTATTTCTTTAGCATCCTTCAATGAGTTGGTTGTGATCAACATGTGCATCTGTTAAATATATTTGACATAAAAGTCTTCTTCCTTAAAACAGGGATAATTGAGAACCTAGCAGAGGTGCGTGTGCAGGTGTGCCGAGATGCAGGTCCTGGAGGTTTGCTGGCCTGGCTCCTAAAGAGGCTAAGAGCAAAACTGCCATTTGATGCCAACAAGCTTTACAGCTCAGAGATCCTGGCCATTTGTATGCAGAACCATGAAGAAAATAGGCGTCTTCTAGGTGAAATGGACGGGATTGATGTGCTCCTCCAGCAGCTTGCTGTAAGTGCTAATGGAAGTTTGGGTTCAGGAGAAACAAGGCAGCTTCTTTAGTGATACCATTGGGCTTTTCCTCCTCGTGAGACTTTGATAATGATAACGTTTCTCTCTCTCTCTCTCTCTCTCTCTCTCTCTCTCTCTCTCTCTCTCTTCTCTCTCTCTCTCTCTCTCTCTCTCTCTCTCTCTCTCTCTCTCTCTCTCTCTCTCTCTCTCTCTCTCTCTCTCTCTCTCTCTCTCTCTCTCTCTCTCTCTCTCTCTCTCTCTCTCTCTCTCTCTCTCTCTCTCTCTATTATCCTGATATATGGCTCCAGAATCAAGGCTGAATTAAGTCCAGCTTATGAAAAGTATTAGGGGATAACATATACTAGCAGTGAAGGCCATTGCATTTTGAGTCTAAATTTCATTTTTTCACATTCAGATATCCTTCTACAATGAAATACTTACCAAATACATTAGCTAATAATTGTAGTCTCTAAAAGAGCTATAAAAGATGGCTCAAGAGATGCACAGAGTGCACCACTTTCAAGCAACATTCCTCCCTCTGTCTGCAGGTTTACAAGCGACATGACCCATCCACCAACGAGGAGCAGGAGATGATGGAGAACCTGTTTGACACCCTCTGCTCCTGCCTCATGTTCACACCCAACAGAGACCTCTTCTTGAGGGGTGAAGGTCTACAGCTTATGAACCTTATGCTGAGGTAAGTTTGAGTGCTTTTGTACTCATAAAGATCATTTCCCCAAAAATTATAAAGGGTTTCACACTGTTTGGCAATAGCAACATCCCTGCCTCTTAAGCTTCTCTGAACCATAGCTTTAAGATCTGAATATTGCTTTAATCTTATTGCAGGCAAATTTGGTTAGAAATGTTTATGATGCTGTGTTTATTTTTATTTGTTGTTGTTCTAGTTATTATTGTTGTTTTATTATCATTATTATTATTATTATTATTATTATTATTGTTATTAACCCAATGTCAACGGAAAAATGGTGCGTTTCCTTTGGCAATGCTTGCTTAAATGTTTCTACACATAGATGGCTCTGCCAATGCTTAGCCACAAAGAGTCAATTAGTAGATCTTGCGACCTTTCTTTTCCTTGAAAAAGTGGGAAATTTTTTTTTTCTTGTATAATGCTATCAATATTGACTGTTATTTTTGTTATGAATATTATAATTACTATATTGTTACTGACATTACTAACAGCAATATTAGATATTAGAAAATATTATCGAAAATCAAGGAAAAGGATAAACAGGTTAGACAGGTAATTTGCGTATTTGGCGCATCGGTGACAGTACTTGTGGAGCCATCTATATGTAAAAACAATTACTAAATTCAACACACACAATGGGCAGTGGCATGTACGCACACACCATACCCGGCGGTTTGGGGTTAAAACTGGTATTATTTTCACTAATATTACTACTATTACTACCATCAGAGAGAAGAAGCTCTCCCGCAATGGAGCCTTAAGAGTGCTTGACCATGCACTTACGGGTCAGGAAGGCGCCGACAATTGTAACAAATTCGTAGAGATCCTAGGTCTACGGACAATCTTCCCACTCTTCATGAAGACTCCTGGCAAGCATGGCAAGAAGGGCCTCACTAAGGACCAGGTGTGTTCAGTAAGGGGTGTTGGCTATTTGTTTAGCAATAACTGTAACTTTTCTTCATTCTTTCTTTCCAGAAGCCATCTTCATTGTGTACAATAAATGACAAAAAATTGATGTCACAGAAGACAAGAGACACTATATATATAACTTTCTATATATATCCATATGATGTTGTCAAGGCATTAGGCTGCACAAAAAGCTAAGCCACAGCCTAAAAGTTCCTTCAATAGTTCTCAAAAAGGTCCTCCAACCTAACACTAACTTTCTTCCATGAACAGCATGAGGAACATGTTATCTCTATCATCACATCTCTGCTCCGCAACTGCCGCCCCAACCAGCGAACACGACTCATCAACAAATTTACAGAGAATGACCATGAAAAGGTGGACAGGCTGCTGGAGTTGCACTTCAAATACCTTGAGAAGGTCCTAGCCACCAACCTTGAAGAACAGGCCAAGGTAAGTAGGTCACTTGCCTCAGCAGTAGCATACACCATTTTTCAGTAGGAGTTTGAGCACATCTTATTCATTAACTATGATACAGCTTGTTGATTTCCACACCAGGTTGTACAATTAAATGGCTATTTCCCCCAAGATATATATATTTTATTACTGCTTCTTTTGCTCTGGGTCACCATCCCTCCTCTTTCCCATTGCTTAGACAGAGAATCTGGATGAAGATGAGCTGTACCTGCGCAGACTGGATGGAGGCCTATTCACACTACAGCTGGTCGATTACATAATGCTTGATGTGTGTGCAACAGGACCGCCTTCCATTAAGAGACGTGTGCTCAAGATCCTCAATCTCCGCAATGCATCTGTGAAGACCATCAAGAATATCATGAGAGGTAGTGTTGTTTCACCTCTTCTTCATTATAGGTCTTCTCCCTCTTCTTCATCTTCCTCAGTATTGTATTCCTCTTTCTCCTAGTCCTCTGCCTCCTCCTCCTCGCACTCCATTCCTCCCTCCCTAGTTATTATTGTTGTTATCATTGTTATTATTACTGTAATTATTATCATTGTTGTTATTTCACTTGTTATTATTATTGTTATTATTATTATCATCATCATTATTATTATTATTATTATTATTATTATTATTATTGTTGTTATTATTATCATCATCATTATTATTATCGTTGTTATTGTTATTATTATTATTATTATTATTGTTATTATTATTATCTTCATCATTATCATCATTGTTTTTATTATTATTAGCAGTAGTAGTATAACTAGTTGTATTAGTATTAGTATTAATATCATTATTGTTACTATTATTGATATTATTATTTTTTATTATTATTATGATAATTGTTATTTCCCCAACTTATTGCTATTATCATTATTATTATTATTAGTAGTAGTAGTAGTAGTATTTTTATTGTTATTATTACCTTATGTTATTTTTATCATTATAATTCTTGCTTATTTTATTTTTATAATTTATAGTTCTTGCTTATGTTATCTTATATAATTATAATTTTTTTTGCTGATAAGATTATCATTATTATTAATGTATTGTTATTACTATTATTGTAATTATTATCATCACTGTCATTGTTATTATTATTATGATTATGATTTTGATTATTATTACTATTATTAATATTATTATTATTATTATGATTTTTATGAGCCATTGTTATTGTTATTACTATTTATTTTTATTATTGTTATTTTATTCATTATTTAAAATTTATTATTATTGTTATTTTTATTTTATTATTATTGTTATTGTAATAATAATAATAATAATAATTATTATTATTATTGTTATTATTATTATTATTATTATTATTATTATTATTATTATCATTATTATAACTGTTATTGTTATTTTAATTATTGTTTTTCTCATATTGTTATTATTATAATTATTATTGTTGTTGTTTTTATGATTTATTGTCGTTGTTTTTACATAATATCATCATCATTATCATTATTATTATTGTTATTATCATTATCATTGTTATAATACTTGTTGCAACTACTACTGTTATTATTACTTCATTGTCATCATATTCTTAGATACTGTGTTTATTTTATTTTGTTCATAGATTTGTCTTTGGGTGCACTTATGATGTTTTTTTTTTCAATGTCACTCTAGTTTTTGCAACTGCCTAGTGGATTTGCAATCTACATGTAAAAGTATCCCTAACCCTTTCTCTTGTGAGTTGCATATTTGTTATGCATTGCAAAACATTCAAGTAGGCTCAATGAAAAGATACAATTTCAAATAAAACACATTGTTCTCTATCTACAGAATATGCCAGTAACCTAGGAGACGGAACCAATTCAGACGCGCAGGCTGAAGAGCAGGACAGAATACTCGACTTGCTGGATAAGTTCCAAAACACGTGAGACCAACTAATGCCAGAATGCTTGGGTGCATGCTAATGGAGAAGGAGGAGGAGGAGGAGGAAAAAGGAAGAAGAGAAGGAGGAAGAGGAGGCAGAGAAGAAGGAGGACAAGGACATGCAGCTTTCTCTTTAGAGAGTGAGACTTCTCTTTTAGGCTAAATGAGTTGGTTTTGTTAGATTAAGAACCTTTCCTCTCAAACTGGTACATTTCAGAAGTACAAAGATGCTTATTAGAAAAGAAAATCTGTCACTATTATCCTTTTAATTTTTCTTTATTGCTTATCATTATCATTATCATTATTAGTATTACTTTTTTATTATTATCATTACCATTATTATGCTGCTCTTATAATTATTGTTAATAATGCCATTGTTCTTATAACTTTCATCTTTATTACTAGCCATGTTATTCCTAATGTCTCCTACAATACTGAAGTGTTCAGAGACAATGCATGAAGAGGCAGAAAGATCTCATCCTCATTCATATTTTCAGTTTCTTACAATTTTATTTATTTATTTGTTTTTCTTATTTGTTATTATTTCTTTTTTATATATACTCAGATATTTTTTTATAATTATATTATTATTATTATTTATCCCCCATTCATATACATATATTTTTATGGTTATATTTTTCTTTCATATATTATTGCATTTAATTCTGTCTTTCATGTTCTGTCTGTGAAATTCTGGCCATGCATCACCAGTTGTAAGTATGTAGCATCATTTTCCATTTAGGTGTGAAAATCAAGAGCATTTTAAAATTATGTTGATGATGAAAATGAAAAGTGAAAATAGTTATTGCAGTTTTTCCTTATCCCATTGAAAAAGTAAAAGATTATTCTCAAGATTCTGGCTGCTCAATCAGAATATATATTTAAACTTTTGATGTTCACTCCAAGCATCTCTTTATAAATGTATATATATATATATATATATATATATATATATATATATATATATATATATATATATATATATATATATATATATTAATGTATATATATATATATATATATATATATATATATATATATATATATATATATATATATATATATATATATAAATATATTAATGTATATATATGTACGTATTTATATATGTAGAAAGAGCAGTTCAAATTCCAAATCAGAAATCGTGAGGTGTATTCAATGAAAGATGGAATAATGCCATACCACATTGATGATATGAATATATTACCCCTCCAATAGGGATTCAAACCTCCACCACCATTGCAAGGAACTTGCAAGACGGTCACTCTAACCACTGATACACTAACCACTAAAAGGAGTGTGCAACTAGGAGCTGTCTAGCATCCAAAGGCATTACCTACCTAATCATACATGAGTAAGGATAATAAAGTTTTGCACACACTCCCCCTGGGCCCTCTGTATATATAGAAAGAGCAGTTCAAATCCCAAATCAGAAATCCTGAGATGTATTCAATGAAAGATGGAATAATGCTATACCACATTGATATCAAGAATATATAACCTCTCTGATAGGGATTCAAACCCCCACCACCATTGCAAGGAACTTGCAAGATGGTCACTCTAACCACCGATACACAACCCACTAAAAGGAGGGTGCAACTAGGAGCTATCGAGTATCCATATGCATTACCAAGGTAGGTAATGCCTATTGCATATACCTCAGGATTTCTGATATGGCATTTCAACTGCTCTTTCTATATATACCGAGTGCCCATGGAGAGTGTGTATAAAACTTCACTATCCTTACTCATGAATAAGTAGGTAGGTAATTTATATGCATGTGTGTATATATATATATATATATATATATATATATATATATATA